AATTAGGCAGGCATGGTGGCGCATGCTGTGTCCCAGCTACTCGGGAGGCTGAGGCGCAGGATCGCTTGAGCCCAGGAGTTGAGGTGCCGTGAGCAGGCTGACGCCACGGACTCTAGCCTGGGCACAGAGTGAGACCCTATCTCAACAAGAAAAAAAAAAAAAAAAAGGACGCTGAGAACAGAGGTAAGTTGGGAGAAAGGACAGGGAGACAGGGAGAAGAGGGACCATAGGCAGGCTGCGGGTGCGAGAGGCAGGATGGACAGAGGTGGGCGTACGTGGCAGAACGCGCCGGGAAACGAGTCAGAATTACAGATGGACTCCCACGTTACACAAGGCTGAGGGCAGGAGGGGAGGGGAGGGAGGGAGGCAGGGTTAGGCTGGGAGCAAGATAGATATTCATTATGAATATGGACTTGCTCGGATTCAGAAGAAGAAACATATTAATATTCAGCACTCTTTTGTCGACTGAAAGGAAATTCTGTTTTTGAGAAACAGGGTTTGCTATGTGCCAGGGTGGCCTCAAACTCCTGAGCCGGCCAGGCCATGGTGGCTCACACTTGTAATCCTAGCGCTTGGGAGCTGAGGGCAGGATCAGCTTGGGATTAGGAGTTCGAGACCAGCCTGAGCAAGAGTGAGACCCCAATCGTACTAATAGGATTGACCAGCCGTGTGGTATACATATAGTCCAGCTGCTCAGGGAGGCTGAGCCAGGAGAGACTTGTGGGCCCAGGGAGTGTGGGTTGCTCGTGAGCTACGTGACGGGGCAGGGGCATGTAAGCTTGGGTGACCAGAAGTGCACTTTTTTTCAAAAAAAAAAAAAAAAAAAAACACCTGAGGCTCTCAAGGTGACTCTCTTGTCTCACCTCTTGGAGTCACCAGGGAGTGTTGGCCGTGCACAAACCTCATGAGTGGGAAGGAGTTTTAAAGCTTACCTCAGCCGCTGCTTCTCAAACCTTAAAAGGTTACATCGTTGATCACTAATTAATAAAAGGTAAAAATTCTTCCCAAAGAGTCACTGATCATCAGGGGATACTTCTATAAGATTCTGATTCGGGGTCGGGTGGGCCTGGAGTTCTGTCTTTTTTAACCACCCCCCCTCAGGAGAAGCGAGCCCACTGTTGGGGATGCCGAAGGACTAGACTTAGCAGTTCTCCAGTGTGATGTGCCCGTGTCTCCGGTCCTACCAGCCCATTACGAGCACTTAGACTGGGCTCGTAAACAGCTTCAGATCTGGAAGAGGTTTTCTTACGTAATCATTGTGCTTCAAAACTTTGAAGTTTCTTTAAATGCATTTAGTATTAAAAGTTTATTTGGCAGAAAGAGGTTGAATAATAAGCGGAGGAGGAAGGCACCGGTGGGCAGAAATGGGCAGGTGGCTGTGGGTCTGTGAAGTCGGGCATGCATGCAGGGAGCATTGAGGGTACTGTCAAGGAAAGAGAAAAGGATTCAGTTGGGATATAGCGGTGGTGCTTTGCAAGAGGAAGAAATGTGGCTCAGGGAGCAAGGTGACCACAGAGAGGCAGGTCTGAACCTCAGAGCTTGCTGAGCCTGCTGGGGCCAGGTGCTGTGCTGTGGTTGTCATTTGCTGGCCCATGGATTGCTGAGGCAGAGGTGTGGGATTGTCCCATGGTCCAGTGGGCACACTGCGGCTGCTCGAGAGGGTTGCCAAGGGTCACAGGCATGAAGTAAGTACCAGACAAGGGACTCGAATCCAGGTCTGTGGGCTCAGAGCTGGCGTGCTCAGCCTCTCTCTCAGCTACCTGGTTGGGCAGCTGGGCCCTCTGCGCATTCTCTTCCCATTAGCGCTTGCTGCTGGCTTGAATGACGCTCGTGTAACGTTTTTGCATTCGGAGTCAGAAGATAATGTTACAAATATCACAATTCGCACATTCTGTTTGTATTAGTTCAGGCACATGATATTTCCCATTTCAGCAACAAACTTGAGCTCACCGGGGTTCAGAGTCAGGTATTAAAAACTTAGTCCTCTTGACTCCAAAGCCAAAGGCTTTTTCCAACAAGCCACCCAGGACCCCCTTTGTGCGAGGACGTTAATCAGGCAAGATTCCTACCCAGGTGCAGTGATTCTACCATTTGCCAGACACATGCCTGCCACCGTGCTGTCCGCCCTGGTGGACATATGACATCGTTTAAACCAATTCAGAGTTTAACCTATAATCGCGGTGTCAGCCGGTGGCTAATAGCTGCCTTGTAACTTTCATAGGTGCGCCCGATCCGCGGCAGGTGCAGACAAGCCACAGAGAAACCCACTTTTAATCTCTGCATGCTGGATCCATCCCTAGATTACAACCCAAACTGCGTGCAGTGACACCATCAGACAAGGCCCTTAGTTTTATGCGAAGATTTTTTTTTTAAAACCAACCTTTGTTTCAAAATGTTACAAAAATGAAAGGTATTATCAATAACCCTCACGTGGGGCCAATCAATTATTCTTCTACACCAAGATCTATTCCTACAGCAGGCATTACGATCAAAACCTGAAATACTGTTATTTGGAGAGGAGACAGCATGCTGATAGCAAGGATGTTGAGTGTCGGACAAATAACACTTACTCCAGATTCTAGCTTGGATCCCCTTTAATTTATGTGAAACATGGTATTTTAAACCGTCACTCATTTTCTCTCCCAGTAGGACTTGCATCTAGAAGCTGGACTTTCTGACTTGCCTGTCTTGTGGGCTCCCACAGCTCCCGCCCTTCCCTGGCTTCAGGCTGCTTTACCCAGACAGGGTCCCCTCCCGCTGCCCTGCCCTGCCCAGCCCTGCCCAGCGCCTCCAGACCCCAGCAAGCTCCTCCTGCGTCTTCCGCCTAGACCCCGAGCACCTAACGAAGTCTGCCCGTCACCCACGGGCACGTGCCGGGATGAGAACGCGGAGTCTGCGGGAGTGAGCGTTACAGGGCATCATGGAGAGACTGGCAGGACGCAGAAAACCCATGTCCCCGCAAGTCAGCCGCCCCTCCCACGAGGCCCGGGGGAGAGGAGGGGACGGCAGAGGAGACAGCAAGGCGAAGCAGCGCCGTTCCTGGCCGGGGCTGGCCTCGGCCTCCAAGCGGGGCTCAGCAACGCTAGCGGGGCTCCTCAGAACGTCCACCCCCCTGGCCCAAATCGGAGCCGCCACCAAGAGCCAGCCACCACCTTGACACACTAGCGAGAAAAACGGAACGACGGACCCAGCGCCTACAGCGGAGTCTGCCTGGGCCTTCTCCCGAGAAGCTCACCAGCCGAGGGGGAGAAGGGGGCGCACGCGGGAACGAGTGGAACGGAGGGACAGACGGACAAAACAACGAGAAGGTGTTGGTGAGAAAGGGACGGCCAGGCCTTCTCGGTGGGGCAGGCCTCCGTCCCAATCACTTCTCAGCCTCCCGGGAGGCAGGGCGTCCAGAGCAAGACCAGGCCCGTCTCTTCCCGCAGCAGCGGACAGCGAGGAGACGAGGAGACGGCGGGAGAGAGGAGGTCCGAGGAGGGAACACGCTGAGGGCTCTGGCCACAGAAAGGGAGAACGAGGAAGGCCCGCCCAAGGCTGTGGAACTTTCTAGTGTCCTGAGCCTCCCTCCCAGGCACACCACAGTCCCACCCCCGGCCCTGCGCTGTGGCCCTGGGGGGTAGCAACACTCCCCACTCCCACGCCCAGGAGAGCCGCCTGGGGGGGCGCCGGGACCTCAGACTCGTTCTCGGTTCCCCAAGAGACGTGCCGCATGGCCGCCTGTGTTTCTAACCCTTGTCTTATTGTTTTTGTTTATTTTTTGTGCTGTATCTTTTTCAGCTTTATTGAGGTAAAATTGACATGTAAAATTGTATGTATCTGAAGAGTACAATATGATGATTTGAAGTATGTACACATTGTAAAATGATTACCATAATCAAGTTAGCTAACACATCTGCTGCCTCATGTAGTTACTTTTTTTCTTGTTTTTGCTGAGAAGGCACAGGTCTACCCTCTTAGCAAATTTCCAGTATACAGTGTTATTAACTATAGTCATATGGTGATTAGATGCTCAGAATGTACTCATCTGATAGCCACAAGTTTGTACCCTTTGACCAACATCTCCCCATTCCCCCACCCCCCAGCCCAAATTCAACGAGTTTAGACTTTTTTGTTCTTTGTTAGTGACAAGAAACCTTGTCACTACAGGTTTCCTAAAGAGCTAAATGAACAAAAAGAACCTAAAGAGGCTCTGCCACGTGCCTCTTGTCCACTTTCCTTCTTCCCTGGCATGCCCATCAAGTAAAACCAAGGCACCCCACCGTGCTGGGCAGGAGGGAGCAAGCATGGTGGGTAGGAGCCCAGCATGAGGTCCCTGGGGTTCCCATCTCTGCCCCTTGCCAGCTGGTCACCTTGCTCAAGTTAGAAAACCCATTAGAGTGCAAGTCATCTCTGAAACAGCAGGAGCACAGTTGCAACCTCATAGTTCGGTGTGAAGATCGGATGAAGCAAGTCCTGCAAAACGCTGAGCACAGTGCTCCAGGCACACAGGGGGCAGCCGTAAATGCTGGCTGCCACGGTGACAATGCTATCACTGTTACTATTACTACTACTACCGATAGCAATAATATCATCACTGCCGATCTTCGTTGTCAGAGCTGGACACAATTTTGGAGATCCCCTAGACCACGGCTTCTCAACCCTCGCTCTGCCCTGGCTTCCGCAGGGCATGCGGTCTCCGCTGCCCTGCTTCTTGCTCCCTTTGCTTCTCCAGGGCTGTTGACCCTTGTCTACCAAGGTGAGGCCGAAGTATTTCCTCACATCAGGGCAGACTCACACATGGTGCATTTGGGGCCAGGCTGAAGGACGACAGGGAAGACCATGGATTGCTAACGGGCCGATTTCCCCGACGGTTGTTCCCATGGGAGGACATGTCCCCAGAGTGCCCGCCTGCCACTCACACCAAATGCCCGGCTCCCCTCTCAACTCTCCCGACCCCCACCACATTATATGAGTTTCCTTCAAGGGAAAACATGGCTTCGCTAAGCCCCCTTCTGGTTCATTTACTCACACTCCTACCTCCAAGGGAGGCTCTGGTAGTTGTCGCGGCGTTTGAAGAAATGCTACAAGCAGACGTGTTAAAAATAGTAACAGAACAGAAATATACTTTCAACAAATCATTCCAACAGATGGGACTCAAAACATTTATTATCCCCCTCTGGTCTGGGACTTTTCAAACACTGCATTTCCAGCCGGCCAGGCTGGGAGCGATTTGATAGTACCTCTCTGACCAATTACATACTAATTAAAAGACCTCGGTGTGGGCTGGAGGTAGCAGCTTTGCATATGGACTTTAATTACTGGGCCCTAGTTTTGCCAAGAAAACACAAAGGGCTTTTCTGGCTGGATGCTGAGGCTCAGAATGAACATATGGCTTGCGTGGGAGGGGAGGGTTAGGAGTGTAATCCTAAACAGGAAGTGGAGTTATTTCCCTCCCTGTAATCTCCTGGAAGTAACTATGTACCGGGGTTATCCAAAATCCCTGACACAGTGCCCGGAACAAAGGACATCCTGAGTGGGCAGTGAGCTGCCACCATGGACACGTCATTCAATTCTGGGCCATCTCTGGGTCGAAATCCTTTCTTGTCCCTCTGTCCATTTCTTGTTTTTTGGATCAGAATCTCAGGCCTCCTCCTAGGTCTCACAGAGCCTGGGGTAGCCCAGCACTAATTTCCAGCTACCCAGAATCATTCTCCTGCCTCTTGGTGACACCATCCCAGACTCCCCAGTGCAGGAGGCTCAGACAGGGCTACACCTCAGGCTCCAGATGAGGAGCAGGCGGCCCAGTCCTAACCAGTGGGCACAATTTAATACCTCTGGCCGCAGCATTTGGCTCAAGGATGGGCATTTGACCTGAACCAGTATGATCAGCACGAGTCCTAGGACGTGTGCGGGGGAGCTCACATGTGGGTTGACGTGTCTTTTACCGAAGCTGGGGTTGAAAGGTAATGTCTGGAGCTGTGGCAGTCATCTTGCTGCCACAGGGAAGAGCAGATCCGAAAATGGAGACAAACCAGAGAAAGCAGAACCGAGAGAGGAAAAGAGGAAAGCCAGAGCACCAAAGAGCATTTGAGGTCCTGGACCAAGCCGTTCCTGAATAAAACCATTCACAGCTTTTCGGTATCGTAAGCCAATAAATTCCTTTTATGCTTCACCTGGCTTCAGTCCGGCTTTCTGTCCATTTGCAACTAAAATCATCCTATCTGGTAGAAATAAGACTGGGAGGCAGGAAGTTAAAACCCTACAGGGAGCCAGTCTGCAAAGAACACACTCCGTACAGCCTCCGTGGACTCTTCGAGATCTTGGCTCAGAATCAAAGAATACTAGAGGTGGAAGACACCTTGGGGACAAAACATCCTGTTCAACCATCATTGCTGACTTTCTTTTTCTAAACAGGTATGCGCACGAAGGCCCAGGGAGGAAAGACGTCACGCAGTAAGCAAGAAACCAGCTCTTCTTCCCATTGCTACCTCCGGCCTTGTATAATATGTACTTGTTGCTCAATAAAACCTTTTTAAAAAAAAAAAAAAAGTTCATTTGTTTCTTTCTTTTTTAACTGTGACTATTAGAAAATATGAAATCACATATGTAGCTTGCATAATATTTCTACTTGTCATCGCTGTTACAGATTTGTTATTTGCAATACTTCAGAATTAAAACATTTAAATATTTTAAATAAAACCTTTTTGACCGAACATTACAGATCCCGTCACCAATAACCAACCTCTCTCTCAAACACACAGCTAATGTACTAGTTAGTTGTCTTTTCTTATCTCTGTATGGCAAATACCTCTCTGGAAAAAATCCTGAACGCATTACCTTCATCTTCTACAACAATCCCTCTCTCTCCTTCCTCCTCTCCTTGCTTGCCACCAGCTTCTTGTTTCTCTCTATTCCCCATTTTGCCTTTCACTTGGCTCAAAACCTTTACTTTTTTTTTTTTTTTTTTTTTTTGAGACAGAGTCTCACTTTGTTGCCCAGGCTAGAGTGAGTGCCCTGGCATCAGCCTAGCTCATAGCAACCTCAATCTCCTGGGCTCAAGTGATCCTCCTGTCTCAGCCTCCTGAGTAGCTGGGACTACAGGCATGTGCCACCACGCCCAGCTAATTTTTTGTATATATATTTTTAGTTGTCCAATTAATTTCTTTCTACTTTTAGTAGAGACAGGGTCTTGCTCAGGCTGGTTTTGAACTCCTGACCTCGAGCAATCCGCCTGCCTCGGCCTCCCGGAGTGCTAGGATTACAGGTGTGAGCCACCGCGCCCGGCCTCTTTACTTTTTAATTGGATTCCACATTGCCTACAGGCACTTAAGAATCTACTGCACCTTGTTCATTTCTCCATCCCGTAACTTCCACCTCACTCCACGAGGTAGTTCACCCATCCTTTACCTGGCCTTCCAGGTAGCTCTACTGCACTCAAAACAGCTACAGTTTTCTACACCCTGCCCCGAGCAAACACATACACGCACAGCTAAAAATCAACTGCTCACAACTGAGTTATCAACATTGTCGGGACAGTCAAGGGATATTTCTTCCCAGGATCCGATCTCTCAGTCACCTGAAATATTTTTACACAGTGCAGGACGGCGGTGGAAATTCAGTCTAACGGTCTATTCCTTGCCAATTCCTTCTGTGACATGATCAGTTACTTAAACTTCCTGTGACTAAATTCCCCCTATTTCTACGACAGACTGATGCCGTTTGCCAGCGTGCGATGGTCGCCAAGTTCTTGCAACACACAGATGGAAAGCTTGGTGTAAACGTTAAGCGAGGTTATTACTCTCTGGAACCCAGTAGGTGGTTGGCAGCCCTTAAGAATCACAATTAGTATTTTTACATTCCTTTTAGAGTTGTGTTAGGAACTTACAGGTCTTCAGAGAAAAAGCTGTGGGATTTTGGATGAGATTCACAAACTCATTTGCTCTCTAGTCCTGGTGAGACCTCTTTATTAGAACTTTCCACCTTCCCAATCCGAAGTTAATTCAGGATGTAAATATAAACAAGTGATACCTTGAATTTACGCAGCCTCCTTCTTATAAAAACCTGCAACCGCTTCCATGTCTCATGTGGTCATTGGTGCCTTCTTTCACTGGAAGCTGTTCTGGGGAAAGGAACACAAAGAAAGAAAAATTTAAAGACATTTACTATGCACACAAATTCTAGACTTCCTTTCGTATTACCACTGTTAACATAACTCAGTTTAGATGAACTTTCTTCTTAATATCTGGCTTCAAAACTGTAAGGAATTGTGGAACCGAACAATCTGTCCCTCCCAGCCTGACTTCTCTACTCTACTGGGGAACAAACCTGTGCACCTGCTCACACCCTCCCCCTCGACGGCTCCCTTCCTCCTTTCTCTCCAGGCAGCATGCCCTCTGTCCTCTGCCCTCTGCCCCTCTCCTTCCAGAGGCCTGAGGTGTGGCTTCCTGAGGAGCCGCCCAAAGCACAGGTGGGGTGACCCTCAAAGGCAGAGGAGTGAGCTCCCAGTGGGGCGAATTTGCCAACAGGAAACAGGAGTCAGGGCAAGGTGGGGAGGGTGCCAGAGCCCCCCCCCCGTTTTCTGCCCCCTCCAACCGTGCAGAGGGAGGATTCCTGCTGTAAACTGCCTGCCTGCAGCGGCCCCACGTGCTGAGGGACCTGCTTGATTCATCAGGGCTTGTATCGAAAGGGTCACCAACAGCAAGACCACTGGGTCCTGCTGCATCTTCCCCTGCCTCCCGCACCCTCACCCTGGGATGCCACCTCCCTGGTAAAGTACTAGCAAGTAGCCCTCAATAACTGCTTTCTGGAGGACCAAAGCTCAGATGTTTATTTTCTCTAGTCCAGCATTTCTGGAGGTGTGATTTGCAGACCACCTGCATCAGAACCCTCTGAGGCACCTGCTAACAAGGCGGATTCCCAAGCCCAGCCCAGAGATTCTGGTTCCGTAGGCTGTGGGTGGATCCTGGGAATCTGCAGTATTAACGATCTCTACACGTGACTCCTGAACACTCAAAAATGTGAGGATCATGGTCCAAGCTCCTTCAGCGTCCCCCAGCTCTCCTAATAGGACTTTCTGGTCACGCAGGCTAGAACCAGCGGGTCTTCCCTGTACACCTCATTCTTGCTGGGTCCTCCTGACGTTCACCAATGGCACCTCTGGCTTCTGCATCTGCCTCTTTTTCAGGCCCACCGCCTCCGTTTCAGCTCATCTCCTTGTACCTGGAATATCACCAAAGCTTCCTAAATGGCCTCCCCATTTACTTTCTTCCAAAATGGGACTAAAATCAGGGATCAGGTTGTATATCTCATAGAGTATCTAGAATAAGCCAGAACAAGGAACGGGCACTCTAGTTGTCAGAGATATATGTGAAGTCCTTGAGGCTGTATGCGTTCGACTAGACAGAATCAGACCTGCGCTGGAACTGCAATCCCACCGTTCACTGTATCTAACTCTTACATCATTGCTCCACTCACTTGCTGATTGCGCCAATGTGCACAGGGAACTCCACGCGAGCAGGTGCCAGCCCGTCTATTTCCATGCAACCCCCTATCTAATGGGGGACACGGTACACAGTGGGTGCTTTACACAGGCTGATGACAGTCGAGATAACAGGGATATAAAGTTCACTCCTTTTTTCCTTCTCCCTTTCAACCTTCCCACACTCATGTTACTGAATTCCCCTTCCTAACTCCATGAACACTTCTACCATCGCCTCAGAACTCTCCCTGCTCTGTGACTTGGGACTAAATCCTGATCGCACCTGTATCCTATTTATTTCCTTCTCCACCTGTCTATTCTTTCCGACTTAAGGAAGGGCATTTTTACTTGAGTTTCTCATCATAAGGACACAAACTGTATTATATAACTGTGATAATCACAGCTAACATTTATTAAGCATTTATCATGCACTAAACCCTTTCCAGGGGCATTTCTTCAATTTAGTCCTTTTGACAGCCTTAACAGGTAGGAACTATTTTTATCCATCTTTACAGATGAGGAAACTTAGAGAAATTATAATTTGTCTACAGAAAGTGCTGGAGGAGACGTCTGATCATAAGGTCTAGGACTGTAACCATTCTGGTACCTTTTCCCCCCAATGCCAGGTGATGCACAGTCATTTTCCACACTGTAGCCACCTGCCCGATGTGAACAGTTCAGCCTGAGCAATTGTCCCTAATCCACATTCATAGCTGATGTAAGTCGACCCACGATGAGAGCAGGTCCCCAGCCTCACAGTCCTGGTCTTCTGCTCACTTCCGGGTTTTGCACATCTCACTCTGCGGTCCCATTTGCTACATGGCTGTGTCATATCCTTTCTGGGTGATGCACGCGGTCTTCACGCCTGGCTTGCCGCATGAGCATTCTTGCCACGTCTAGCCAGGAACTCACTTCACCCCCCCCAACATTTCCTCCACCATTACCCTCTGCTCCATCTACCCCAAACCCTGCTTCATACTCTTTCATGCTGGCCTCTGAACAGCCACAGAGACGTGTCTCAGAGCACCCCCAGGGACCGAAGTCCCCACGGCAGAATCTCCGTCTGGGCACTTGACTGTTTCTCCTTTGAAGTCGCCTTCTTCATTAGCCCTCGAATCTCCCAGCGAACAGTCCTCTCAGGTGCTCAGTGTGGACTCCATTTCCTCCTCTATCTGCTTCTGCCTTTGTCCTTCTGAGCCAAGGGGCAGGGTTATTTAACAGGTCTCCCTCGTGCCACCTGTGCCATCAGGGCACGGGTCTAGACCCCCGTTTTTAACTGGCCTCAAGGCGTCCCCGGACAGCATGTCTCCCCCTTCTTAAATCCTTAGGTGACAGTCGCCGTCCCCCGCCCCAAGCTTAATTTAACTTTTAGTTTTAAGCCTGGCTTTCCCGCTATCTTGCTCTCCCCGCCGAGCCTGCACATCTGGAACCATTCACAAAGTGGTGCTTGAAATTTCCACTAATTCAGATGGAATGCTGGGCCAGGGAGGGAGGCCACGGGAGGCCCCCAGCTCCCCTTGAGTCGCAGGGCAAGTAGCTCTGCTCTAAAAAATGCAGAAAAAAAAATGCATGTGTCAACAAACCTCCTAGAGAGCACCCACTGGGGGCAGAGCCCCGAGCTAGGGACACAGGAGCAACCCAGCTCTGTAGCAGTGGCCCTGAGGCACATATAGACTTCACAGGACAATGCTATGGGCTGAACAGTGTCTCCCCCGCCCCTAAATTCACAGGTCCTAAGCCCGCAATATGACTCTGTCTGGTGACAGGGCCTCTCAGGGGTCATTGAGGCATGAGAACCATAAGGGTGAGGCCCTAATTCACTAGAACTGGTGTGTCCTTATGAGAAGAGGAAGAGAGAGAGAGAGATTGGTCTCTCTCCGCCACGTGAGGACACACCGAGCAGGTGGCTGTCTGCAAACCAGGAAGAGAGCCCTCACCAGAGACTGACCATGCTGGCACCCCAATCGTAGACTTGCCAGACTCCAGAAGTGTGAGACATAAAGTTCCACTGTTGAAACCACTCAGCCTGTGGGATCTGTTATGGCAGCCCGAGCCGATTTACACAGACAACAAGCTCTTATGTCTACATCCAGTCAACGTGGTTCGTGGGGGAAAAATACAGGACTCCAAAGACACTATTCTCCATACCTGCCTCGCCACGCTGCCTGGGAAGGGTACAGAATTCAGGGAGGGCAGCAGAGAAACTGGGGAAAAACACGCGTGAAAACTAATCCATCCGCCAATTAGCATTTATGGAATAACTGTCGCGTACAATTATAAATCCTTTCAAACACCATATGCTTGTATTTGTTTATACGTGCATGGAAGAAAGATCTGGAAAGATACATACTAAATGGATAATAAGGGTCACCTTTGGAGTAGACAGTGGCAGGGGGCAGGGAAGAAAAAGGCCAAGGAGGTTGGTGAAGAGGGACTTTCACCGATATAAAATTATTTGAATATGTCACCTATAAGAGAAGAAACACACACTCTTGCAAGTATCTGCTGAATGAGGAAGAAAGGCAGTACGCAAGGCGTCACGGGCCACTCTCCCGTGGGACAGGCAGTTCGACTCCCCGGGCTTTTTCTCTGGGACATGGGAATGTAATCTTTTTGGAGGTGCTGAGAGCTTGTCTGTCCTATTAACATCTATATCCCTAGTCCCTAGCATGGCACCTGGCACATAGGAGATGCTCAAACACCGGGTTGCTCGGCTGCACGGATGCATGAGTGAATGAATGGGGGAGGGGACAGGGCCCAACAAGAAAGTTCTGTGCGAAGGTCTAACCTGGCCAGGAGATTTATTGGAAGCCTCGGGGCACAAATCTGGGCGACTTTGCAGAATAAGGCATGAGTGTGGGGCAAGTGGGGAAGCTGCATGACTCCAAAGATGACATAGTTCAAGGGACTCTGGATGGCACATGGCCCAAGAAAAGGGGCAGAGGGCCTGGAGCTCTGGAAGTAGAGTGTAAAGTTCCAGCACTTAAAGTGACACTAAGGGCTCCAACAAGAGTGTATGCCCCCCTCTGCTACCACACAACCATGAACCACAAGTTATCATGTGGTCCTTATACAGTCCCTGACACCTCCTAAAACATGTAGGAGTCTTGAAGAGAAATGACTTGTTTCCAAGGCCCTGTTGAGACTTGGCATAGCAGGAAGGTGAAGAACACAGGCTTTGGCTCTTAACTACCTGGGTTCAAATCCTGGCTCCATGGCTTCACGGAGTTAGTTAACTCTTCTGTGTTCCAGCATCTTCTCCTATAAAATGGGGGCGGTCAAAGTACCTGGTCTGTGGAAGGCACTCAGAATGGTGGCTGGTCCTAGGAAACAGAGGGGAGGGCCTTGTGAAACAAGGGTGGGTATGATGACAGCCAAGTGAAACCATGTGACCTCACTCATGCAGAACTCATCATTCCAACTTACAGAAACACAACAATTCACATCAAAACCAACATTTGGGTGGGCATGATGGCTCACACCTATAATCCTAGCACTTTGGGAGGCCGAGGCAGGAGGACTGCTTGAGGCCAGGAGTTTGAGACCAGCCTGAGCAAGAGTGAGACCCAGTTCCTATAAAAAATAGAAAATTAGCCTAGTGTGGTGGCTGTCACCTGCAGTTCTAGCTCCTGAGGAGGCTGCAGCAGGAGGATTCCTTGAGCCCAGGAGTTTGAGGTTGCTGTGAGCTGTGATGACACCACTGCACCCTAGCCTGGGCAACAGAGCAAGACCCTGTGTCAAAAACAAACAACTCAGATAGCCTTGTTCCACCTCAGCTGGGACCATCTGCATCAGGAGACACCAATTTTTCACCGTTCCCAGTCAGCCCACGGATGCCCACAAAAACACTGCCATTATTGATTTCGGGGGCTACAAACACATTTCAGCGAGCAAGTGAATGTGTAAATACGAAATCCCTGAATGAGGAGGATCGACTGTATTTATTACTCTGTCTCCTTTCGAACCTTCAGAAAAAGGTTTTTCCTCTCACATTCCAGGGATTGAGTTCCCCAGTTTGAATCCACCCACATCCACCTCCTTTTCTCGTCTGTTCTGTCCTCATCCCAGCCCTCGCCAGCCACGCCGGACCCTCTCTGCTCCCCGCTCCGAGTCTCTGCGGGGGAACGGCAGAAACACGACCAGAGCCGAGGCTGTGCGTGACCAGGGTGAGGGGTCACGGGGCCTGCGTGGAGGCAGCGGCAGAGGAGAGAGAGAGGAAAACCCAGAAGAGGCATAGATGCCCAGAGGGCTAGGGGTTTAGGAAGGAGTCTAAGGTGACTCCCTGCTTTCTAATTTCATAAATCCAATAGATACTGAGGAACTAACCGTGCTTGAGAGGAAGAGCGCAAGAGATGCAGGTCTCTGAGGGAAGGCAGCGAGTTCAGTTTGGGACCCATAAGTTCGAAATGTCTACAACATCCAGACGGTACAGGTATCAGCGCTTTCAGTCATAGTGAAAAGCAAGCAACCCTAGCTAATTCGAGCACAAAAGGAAATTTCTAAAGGACATCTGGCAATTGATAGAATTTCCAGAACAGCCAGAGAACCAAGACTGGCCCCTTTGCAAGCTAGGAGCAAGCGTCAGATTCACTCTAGAACCTGTGTCCACCGAGGAAGCCCTTGTGGATAGCACTGGAGACAGACTCTAGCTCACAGCCCTGTCTTGGGGCTCAGCTTCCAGAACACTCCTACCACCCAAGAGCCTGGATGAGGCCGCCACTGCCATCCTCACCAGGATGAGCTCTGCGGGGCCCTGCTTCTGAGCCAAATTGGGGCACGGGTTTCCGACAGGTGGGGCCTGTGCTCTGGCTGCAGGGTAGGGTGGGGTGGGGTGGGGTAGGGTGGGGGAGCCTCCAGAGTGGGAAATGGGTCAGGCCTCACAGGGAGGGAGATGCCCCACACAGGGGAATGAGGTTCAGATGTTGGGTAGCTACAAAGAACGACAAAAGTCTGCTGCAATATATTCAGAAGGGCTAGAAACCAGACCGGTAATAACAGCTCCTGCTTTTAAGCGCTTACTATGTATCGAACACCATACAAAACACTTAACAAGCATATACAGAGTTTAAGTCACAGAGAAAGTATGAAGCGGATCTTCTCCAGCCACCATACCTAGTTTTTTTAGAGCTAGGGTCTTGCTATGTTGCCCAAGCTAGTTTCAAACTCCTGGCCTCAAGCCATCTTCCTGCCTTGGCCTCTTGTGATTACTGGGATTACATGTATGAACCACCACACCCAGCTCAATAAAACTTTACCTGTGGGACACAATTTGTCAATCCCAAGCTTAGACTAAATGCTGTTCTAGACTGACCATAACAAAGCTGAAAAGCAAGGCTCAAAAGGAGCCAATGAATTCCATAGAACATAATTGCATCACAGAACAACAAAGCTCAACAACACTTACAGGAATGCAAAAAACTCCAGCACTTAACAATATGGAATTCACAATATTTGGCAACCAATCCAAAGCTACCAGGCAGACAAAGATGTAGAAAAATACACCCTGTAATAAGGAGGAAAAAAAATAAAAAAGAACAGACCCAGAAATGTCACAGATGACAGAATTAGTATATAAAAATATTAAAACAGAATTATAACTATGTATGCTCAAGAAAGTTAAAGGAAATCATGAGTAAGATATAGAGACATAGAAGACAGAAGATAGTTACAAATAAAACTTCTAGAGATGAAAGATACAATATCAGAGATGTAAAATAAACTGGATGGGATTAAGAGCAGACTAGATCAGATGTTGCAGAAAAAAAGAATAATGAATTTAAAGACATGGTAATAGAAACCCTCTAAAATATTGACAGGCAAAAACCTGGCAAAAATAAAGGATAGAGCATCTGTAAGCTGTGGAACATTAAGCAGGTTAATATACTTGTAATTGGAGTCTGAAAAACAAAGGACAGGAGTAGGGGGCAGAAAATACATCTGAAGAAATAACAGCCAAAAATTTTCCAAATTTAAGGAAAACTACAAACCCACAGATGAAATAAGCTTACCAAATCTCAAACAGAAAAAAAACATAAAGAAGACTACACCAAGATAATTACATTGCTTGCAACTAGGGATAAAGAGAAAAAAAATTTAAGTAGCCAGAGACAAAACACAAAGAGAAAACAAAGATTGACAACAGACTTCTTGTCAGAACCAATGCACCTCAGAAGGCAATGATGTCTTTAAAATACTGAAACTAAAAAGAAACCGTCAAGTTAGAATTCTAGACCCAGCAAACACACTTTTCAAAAACAGAGGTGAATGAAGGCATTTCAAACACAGAAAGAAAGAATTCATCAAAACCAGACTGCCACTATTAGAAATGCTAAAGGAAACTGTTCGGGCAGAAGGCTTATGATACCAAATGGAAATGCAGATCTACCCAAAGGAATGAAGAGCAGCAGAAATGAAAATATGTAGGTAAATGTAAAATACTTATTTTTCTGACTTTTAAAGATCTTCTTAGAAGACAAGTGACTGTTTAAAGGGAAAATAGCAACACTGTTTTGAGGGGCTTATAGCACATGTAGAAATAAAGTGAATGACAAAAATAGCACAAAGGACATAAGGGGTTAATGGATAAAAATATACTGCTGGAAGGTTCTTACACTAAATTTTAAAAGGTGTGACATTACTTGAAGAAAGCCTGTGATAACTTCAAGATTGATACCGTAAGCCCTAAAGGAACCTCAATAAATAAATAAAATAAAAAGAGGTATAGCTAATTAAACCAATAAAAGAGATAAAGTGAAATCACATTGACTATAAATGGGCATAAGCAAGCTTTCTGGTGTGATGTAAATATTCTAAAACTGGATTGTTGTGAGGGTTGCACAACTCTATAAATTTACTGAAAATCATTGATTTGCATACTTAAAATGGGAGACTTTTATGGTATATAAATTACACCTCAATAAAGTTGCTGAAAAGTGAAATAAAAATAATAAATGCACTTGGTCCAAAAGCATGCAGGAAGAAAAAAAAGGAAGAACAAAACACAGACAGGGCAAATAGCAAGATGGTAGACTTACACACTTACATTAAAAAGTAAAGAGGTCTTCTGTTCCCATTATCTTAGATTTTTTAAAAAAAGTAAAGAGGTCTAGACAATTTTGATTTTAAAAAGTTAAAGAATTACACATCTGATTTGGAGACTTCTTATGAAGCTACAGTAATCATGACAGCATGGTATGGGCATAAAGATAAACATGCAGATGAATGAGAAAGAACGGACTCCAGAAATAGATAACGTGTATTTATGGTCAATTGATTTTCAACTAAAATGTCAGGAGTTCAAGACCAGCATGAGCAAAAGTGAGACCTGTCTCTACTAAAAACAGAAAGAAATTAGCTGGACAACTAAAAAATATATAGAAAAAATTAGCCGAGCATGATGGCTGTAGTCCATGTGCACCTGTAGTCCCAGGTACTTGAGAAGCTGAGGCAGGAGAATCGCTTCAGCCCAGGAGTTTGAGGTTGCTGTGAGCTAGGCTGACGCCACGGCACTCTAGCCCGGGTAAGAGAGCGAGACCCTGGACTCTGACTCCAAAAAAAAATTTTAAAAGATGGGCCATTTTAATATAGGTTTAAAGGAAGGAATCAGAAAAGACAAATTAATAACATAATAGAAAAAGTTACAGGAGGAGATGGTTCTAGGATCTCAGTGAGGAGCTGAAGGAAAGCTGTCAAGTTGCTGGTCTCATTTTTTTTCACTGACTTACTATGCAAAGTCATCAGTGTATGGAAGGGGGTAAGACAGGGGAGGGTAGGAGAAGTCATCTTTAGAATAACAAGCCTGGGAATAGTATCCGGAATGACTAGACCCCACCCCCAACACACAAATCAGCAATTATGAAAGCAGCTACTTATCGGTAACACCACCAAGTTATTTCTGCTGTGCTAGTCGCCACCACACTCTCTCATCTCCAAACTAACCCTTAAACATGGTTGACGGGAGTTAGCTGTTTAAACAATAGACGGCCCAGCAAGGGGAAGGCGGTCAGGACTTCAGTGGGCATTGGTGAACCGCTATCTCCAGCTCTGGGCTCCTCTGCAATTTATCCACCACCCACAGGATCTCAGACCAAGATTCCCACTTTGCCTCCGAAGCTAATTTTGGTCCCACTGGTGAGTGCTAACCTGGGTGTGGTGGGAGTGTGGGTGGGGACCACCAGGAAGTAAAGGAAGTGGGGCTGGTGAATCAGGTGGGGGCCTGACTCACCCGGGGTCATGGGAACGTGGGCTCCGGGGCTGGTAGCGCCATCTCTGAGCAGCACCGGGGCCTGGAGGGGCATCGTTAGTGGCTGCGGACGCTTGCCCAGCGCTGCGCGTGGGACGGCCCTGGGACCTGCCCACGCGCAGTGTGGCTAATTACGTCCCACCTGCCCTCCTGCACAGGCAGAGGACTAGCGAGGACTTCCTGCCCTGCCTCTCCGGCTGCTGCCCCGACTCACACAGAGCTGAGCCCCGAAGACCGCCCCTCTTCCCTCACCCTCCAGACTGCAGGACTCAGTAGGACCTAGAGGGCGGGCCTCTGCCCCCTGCTCATTTGGTTCACCGCAACGCCACTTCTGCCCAAGAAACCCAGACAGCCCAGACTGCCGGCGTGGAAGCTTGCTGCAGGGGGCTTCTCTGGTTTCTCTACTAGTAGGGACTCTGCCTTTTTCGCTCCAAAGAAACGACCCTTCTTCACGTTTTAGTCGATGTGGTCCGGATGGTACCAACTCTACCCCCAGGCCCAGGGTGAGCGTGTGAACCAGCCTGGCTCATCGGAACATGCGATCTCGTAGCCAGAATGACTGGTTCAACAAGGGATAAGTGACCCAAAAAGAGACAACAAGACCCAGTTCTAAGAGTTTTGTGGAACTCTTAGGAAGAATTGCTCTTCTCTGCTCATGTTACTGAGAGCCTAGAATATAAGCCAAAACTTACCAGCAGCTTCTTTTCTTTTAGATAAAATTAAATCAACCTTCTGTTCCAAGAACTGCCTCAAGTACCTTTGTTATATATTATCTCATTTAATTCCCACATCAACTCCATGAGTTGTAAGTTCTGTTATTTGAGGTAGTACAATTTAGAGGTCAATAGTACTGACTCTGGAACCAGAGTGCCTGGGTTTGAATTGTGGCTCGCTGTGTATAGGCAATATTTAAACTTTTTTGCCTCAGTCTCCTCTTCTATAAAATGGGGCTAATGGCTGGGTGCAGTGGCTCACGCCTGTAATCCTAGCACTCTGGGAGGCCAAGGTGGGTGGATTGCTCAAGGTCAGGAGTTCGAAACCAGCCTGAGCAAGAATGAGACCCCACCTCTACCATAAATAGAAAGAAATTAATTGGCCAACTAATATATACGGAAAAAATTAGCCAGGCATGGTGGTGCATGCCTGTAGTCCCAGCTACTCGGGAGGCCGAGGCAGCAGGATCGCTTGAGCCCAGGAGTTTGAGGTTGCTGTGAGCTAGGCTGACGCCACGGCACTCACTCTAGCCTGGGCAACACAGTGAGACTCTGTCTCAAAAAAAATAAATAAAATGAAATAAAATGGGGCTAATAATAATACCTACCTCATAGGTGGTTGTGAAGACTAGTGAGTTTATATATGTGGAACACTTAGAAGAACACCAGGCACTCAGCAAGTGCTCGATAAATTTTAGCTATGGCTATCATCATCATCATTTCTAACTTAAAGACAAGGACTCGTAGGCATAGAAATGTTAAGGGATTTGTGTAAGTTTGTACAACTAGTAAGTGATGGACTGAGAATTTGGAGACAGAGTCTCACTCTGTTGCCCGGGCTAGTGTGCCGTGGCATCAGCCTGGCTCACAGCAACCTCAAACTCCTGGGCCCAAGCAATCCTCCTGCCTCAGCCTCCCAAGTAGCTGAGATTACAGGCATGCACCACCATGCCTGGCTAATTATGTCTATATATTTTTAGTTATCCAGTAATTTCTGTCTATTTTTAGTAGAGACGGGGGGTCTCGCTCTTGCTCAGGCTGGTCTCGAACTCCTGCCCTCAGGCTATCCGCCCACCTCGGCCTCCCAGACTGCTAGGATTACAGGCATGAGCCACCACGCCTGGCCTCAATAATATTAATTCAACAAAATTCCTCTTACTTCAATCCAGTTTCAGTTGGGGTACCTGTCCCTTGCAGCTGCAATCCCTTGCAGACTTGGCTAATAGAGCAATTCAAATCTCATCTCGTGTCTTTGCATCCTGGGCCTGACTGGCCCGAGGAGAATCCCCACAAAAGAGTCTACTCTAGGAGTACAGAAGCAAAGCTGTTCATTTGCTTGGTCATTCATTCATTTCATTCAGGCACCCTCCACGTGCCAGGCACTGACTTGTGAGCTGCAAAAACATTCTGGGTAGACTAGGCATAAGGCGTTTCTGCATGAAAACATCAGCGGTGCTCCCACCCGCATACCCGTCAGCGCCAACTGCAGTCCCCAGCGGAATCTTGGTTCTCCTGTCTGCCAGGAGAGAAGTCCCTGGGACCGTCCGCTCTGAGCCCCACCTTCTCTAAGCCCTGCACATGCGTTGCTACCTCCGGCCTCTAGTTTGTCTTTAAACGGAAGAGGTGATGGGGGATTTCTGCACAGACTAAATTATTCATCTCCATCAAACCACACAGGCAGCATTCGATCTCCACCTCTGCACAGTCTTCCCAGACCAAAATATTCGATCGAGGTCCACACAGGAAATGCAGACACAAAAACGAGCGCCTCAGAGCGCCGCCGGGGTGAAGCCTTCCACCAGCAAGGCGTGTCCTTTCCTTCCCTGCGCCGGGCCGACTTGCGGAGAACCCTCAAGGGCTGGGGACACTTTTGATTTTTGCATCGCCAGCGTCGTAGGAAATATACAATGAAAAACCCAGTGGTTCCTTGGAGAGTTCATTGCTCTCCCCATCTTCTTTGATTCCCCTGCCTCCTCTCCACATCCTTTGAACTTCTAAAAAGACACTTTGAAGGCACGTCATAAAGCAGTTTTTCATTCACGCTGCTCTCTTTGATGATCTTGCTGTTTGTCGGAACTGCAGCGTCCACAGGATGTGGGGCCGGGAGAGCTGAAAGCCAATACTGACGCGGACGGGCCGAGCGAGGAAGGGCCCAGGCTGCGCTGGAAGAGAAGAAAGGGGAAGGAGGGAATGGGCGAGACCAGCGGGAGCCAAGCGGGATTTCTGGCCTCTCTTGCAAGTCTCATCCTCCAGAGCGGCGACTCGTGAGAGAGGCCGCAGGGCTGCCAGGCCCAGCGACAGTTCACAACCCGAGAAAGGTTTCGGATGCTTCCAGATGCTTCCCTACCTCTCTGACCTCCAAAGCTAGTGCTCTCTCTGCTCACCCCCAGACTTCCGCAACAACCCAGCTCCTACCTGATGAAAAGTATTATTGGTTTTGATGTTTCCGACCTCCCCCATTTTCCCCGGTGAAAGATCCATTCATTTCAGCCCTAACCAGACACAGCGAGCAGGGAATGAGAAACAAAAGAGGGAGAGTGTGTGCTAAGGAGGCGGGCAGGATTGCAGACACACACCTTTTTTCACCTTGCCCACCGAATAAAGGGTTGGAAACCAAGGCTTTTTGTAGATCAGTCTCGAGGACTGGAGTTACTCGAGGTGGCAGCCCCGGCTCCCCTGGCCAGGGGCCGGGCAGCCATGGTGAGGGCAGCCCGCAGCCTCCCCTGAACCCCCACTGCCGTGGATCCAAAGGGAAAATAAATCACTCCCGTGTAGGATGCAGGCAGTCTGATTAGCACCAAGGAAGTGGCCATGAGGGTTGGGGCTGGGGAGAAAGGCCTTCAGACCATTATAAGCATTAAATACGGCCGGGCGCGGTGGCTCACGCCTGTAATCCGAGCACTCTGGGAGGCCCAGGCAGGTGGATTGCTTGAGGTCAGGAGTTCGAAACCAGCCTGAGCAAGAGCGAGACCCCGTCTCTACTATAAATAGAAAGAAATTAATTGGCCAACTAATATATATAGAAAAAATTAGCCGGACATGGTGGCGCATGCCTGTAGTCCCAGCTACTCGGGAGGCTGAGGCAGGAGGATCACTTGAGCCCAGGAGTTTGAGGTTGCTGTGAGCTAAGCTGACACCATGGCACTCACTCTAGCCTGGGCAACAAAGTGAGACTCTGTCTTAAAAAAAAAAAAAATTTAAATACCTTAGAACCCATCCTCCCGGGGGTGTCGGTTGGGGGCAGAGGGTGAAGAACTCTTTTGCTCACAAATGTTCAGTGAGAGCTCACTAAGCCCTACGAGGACAAGAGGGTCTCCGCCCTGGTGGAACTGAGAGATCAGGGAAAGGTCAGAGGTGAAGCAGTTCCACTCACGTATGTAAAACTGCACACTCAGGCCCACGCCTTGAAGGCAAAGTGAAAGGTGTCATGAGACCATTTAACACAGACCCCCACCTGGCCACAGGGGACAGGCTCCACGGAGATCTGAGGTGGCCTATCTAAGGGGTGACACTGAGGCTGGGACCCGAAGGGGAGAGAAGACGATGCAGGCAAAGAGCAGGGAACAGCGTGTTTCTCCGAGGGAACAGCACACATGGGACGGCCCAGCTCAGGCGGAGGCGGACTGGAGGGGCCTGTCGTGGAGGCGGCTGACCGGCTAGGAGCAGAGAAGCCACGGTGCGCAGCGAGCCCCGAGACACACCGGCTGCTTTTCTGAGCGCTGGGAGCACAGCAGTGAACACAATATGCAAAGTCCCTGTCCCCCTGGAGTTGACGTCCCAGAGGCTAACCCTAGTTGGAAACCAGACTCTGCCAGACATGGGGTTAATTCAAACTACACGGCCGTGACGAGGAAAAAGACAGTACTACCTCCTACACTCTAGAGCTTTCTCAGCTGAAAGGCTCACGGCATGGGCCTCCAAACCTAAAGTGAGGAGAGCCCCTCCTTCCCTATCTGTTGGGATGCAGGCCAGACTGAGCTCATCCGTGGGAATGCGGCAGCAGGTGACAAGGGCAATTGAGTCCGACAAGGAGCCACCCTCCATGCCAGGGATTCTAGCTCACCGTGGCAACGGGTCTGGAAGCGATCGCCAGCTGCTCCATGAGCCGGCTGCAGTCCCCACCGTGGCTCGGCCGTACCAGTTCAGGGCGTGGGATTTTTGAGTCCTACCATCCTAGCTCCTTGTCCCAGCTCTGCTTCCTGCCGACTGCGCCCAGAACTTTAACCTCTCTGATCCCCAGTTTCTTAGTCTATAAAACAGGATTAATGGAACCTTCACTACAAGGTAGTCATTAGGATTAAAGGAGTCGGGGCGCGTAAAGTGCTCAGCGTCGTGTGCGGCAGGCAAATGCCCACTCAGCACCAGCCACTGTGACTAGCACGATCGCGATCGAGCCCATGCCCGACCAAAGGCGCCTGGTTTAATGTAACTTGCACAGATCCCAGAATTGCAACGCAGGCAATTAAGTGCAACTCGCAGCCCTGTCCCCTTTACTCGTACACTGCCAGGGAAAGCAAGGCACAGCTCCGCA